TTCCCGGGCCTCTGTGCATCCGGAGTGACCAGGGAGCCCGGGAGAGGCAGGGGGTGCGGTGCGCGGGCGGCTGCTCCTTAAGTGCTGCAGATATGACTGACCAAGACCAGAATCCGCAGGGGTGCTGGGGACCTGAGTCACTTGAGCAGGGAGGGGCCTTTTGCACACTTGTTGATAACTTTACTCCTCCCCTTCACCTTGGGCTCACTCGTGTATCTGATTGCAGGTCATTTTGGTGGGTTTTAGTACAGCTTTTTTTTTGGTACTGGGGATTGAACTCTGGACCTTTCACTTGCAAAGTAAAGCTTTTTTTAAAAAATAGGTTCCGTAACCATGACCCTGGCTGTGTGCTGTTCCCTGGATTTCTCTTGGGGACCATAGCAGATAGTTAAAATACTTGTCTTTTAAAAATGTAGATCTTTATTTTCATTTGTCCATGTTTGCAGTACATAATGGATACATTCCTGGTGGACAGTTGGTACATCACAGGATGCATCTTAATTCTTTTATGTCCCCTTCCTCTTCCCTCCCCTCACCCTCCCTCTCTTGGTATCTTTCCTGTTTGCAAAAGATCTGCCTCTGTTTCCTACTGTCTCTTTTATTTTCCTCTTTATTTACACTTTGTATTCCTCATACCAGAGGAACCATGCAATATTTAAGCTTGTGTGTCGGAAAATACTTGTTTCTTAAAGCCGATTCTCCCCCTGTTTATCAGAGAGTCCCTCGGACCGGCTGGGTATACCGAAATGTGGAAAATCCTGAGAGTGTGTCTGACCACATGTACCGCATGGCGCTGATGGCCATGGTGACCAGAGATGACCGCCTTAACAGGGATCGGTGAGCTCGCTGGCACCGTGGAGCTTGTGAGGGGCTCTGCTCGGCTTTTCGCCAGGCATCCGTCAGGTTTGGAAAAGTTACTTGGTCACCCACGCGGATTCAGGAGGTGGGCAGTGGAGTTTTCTGATGGCGAGGAGTAGAGCCTGACTCAGGAAGCATAAACGTGGGTGCATCAAGGATGCATTATATCCAAAGTCCTATCGCTGGTGTGACTCACTGTGTGCTTTTCCGCCACCCATTTTATGAGTGGTCGCACCCATTTGTGAAGTGATTTTGTGTGTTCAGAGTAGACCTCAGAAAGAGGTGTCCTCTTTGGTTAACCACCTGGCGTTACATGCTGTTGGCGCACAGAAGTTTTCTAGCAGTACAAGACAGTGAGTGAGTTATCCAGGACCTGAAGGCTTTTGTAAAAAGCACAAGGGAAGCTAGGAAATGAGCTGAGCTAACAGGAGGGAGACTGCCTGTCCTTGGAAGTCTTAATGCAGGCTCCTGCCTGAGCTCAGGTCGGGGGGCTTGGTGCAGGGAGCGAAGAGGAAGGCACAGCAGGCAGAGAGAAGGGCACAGAAACCAAGCCAGATGGAGAGGGAGCAGAGGAATCATTTCCTTTATCTTCCCTAATCCGTGCTTGTGGTACCTATGATTGCTTTCCTCAAGGAGTCTGTGCATGTGTACAACACAGCTTCATGTTGTTTACATCTTTCCCTTCCCTCCCACCCCTCTCCCTTCGTCTCTTGGGCCACTTCCTACATGTGAAGGAAATCAAGTTGATTGAATTAAGGGAGCCTGGGTAACTCGGCATCTGGTGCAAAATCGAGAAGACTTTTAGCAAGAGATTGAAGCCAAAGTGTCTAGCTTCGGAGTATTCTGAGACCTGAACAGGCCAAGAGGCTGGAGGGAGGGTCACACAGGAGGAGCCGAGTGGACCTGGCGGCTTGGTAACTGGGATTGTAAGACAGACTGCCCTCCCGATCTTTTGTTGTTTTGAGTGTGATTATGACTGTCAATAAACTAATCACTGACGATTATAGTTATTTGTTGAATGATCACCATGTGCCAGGAATATAACTTTTCACCTTCAGTTTGTACCCTGACTTTATTAAGTATTACTGTCCTCTTTTGACGGGTGAGGCAATGAAACTGAGGGTTTAAATACATCATTGGCAGAAATCACATAGGTAGGATCCCAGAGCTAGTGAGTGTCAGCTGCCAGATTCAAACTCAGCAAAGTCCAGCTCTACCCAGTGTCCTGTGAACAGTTCACTTGGGCATCTGACATAGTACACTGCAGGAAATGATGGCTTCTTCATTTTGTATCAGTAAGAAATGCCAGAAGTAGGAGATCATCACCTGGCATTGTAATCGGAAGTGAGAATCCCCTTAAAGCAGGTTGAGAAATCAGCCCCTGGGGAAAAGAATTCACACAGGGTCTTCCTGTGGTCTCCTGGGTTGTGTTGGATGCTCATTTGCATTCAGAACTGTGTGCTGGTGGGATATAATTGCTGTATAAAATGCCATATTAGACTGTTCTATGACATATCTCATGTGGCTTGAAAATAACATAGAAACTTTTGGAGAATGTAATTCTGTGTAATTACTCAACCTTTCTTGCCCGGTCAGATGCATACGCCTGGCCCTGGTTCACGACATGGCAGAGTGCATCGTTGGGGACATAGCACCAGCAGATAACATCCCCAAGGAAGAAAAGCATAGGCGAGAAGAGGTCAGTGTTGGCTGTTGGCTGTGTAACCGCCCCCTGGAAGAACCTGTAGCTGAACCAGAGCGGAGTGCACTGGGTTGCTGCGTCACCCAAACAGTCCTCATGGTATCTGGGATTGGGGAGGGCACAACCTTGTAGCGTTTCAGGGTCTGGGTGAGAGAATGTTAAGATCCATTTACAATGATAGGCCGTGCTCAGAACTGCAGAGTTTAAGACTTGGGAGCTTTGAACTGGGAACGATGAGGGTGGAGTCTTACTGGGAACTTTCCAGGGCTAAGCATTAGTGCATACTTTGCTGTAAGTATCTTAAGGAAGAAGCAGGGACTTCCTGGAGTGATCAGCAAATCAGTAATTCCTTGGAAAAATCGGGCTGGTTTCTTGGTTTTGCTTATTTAAAACAAGAGTAGGAAAATGTGGTAACTTTAACACAGAGACAGCCACGGTGCTTTCCATTCTTGGTGGTAATCGGACCCAGGTGGGTGGGCTTTCCTTAGGGCGGTGGAACTAGCAGGAACGGAAATGGGTTTGTAGAAGCTGTCCACACTGGTGAAGCTCTGGGGAGAAATTCTTTAACTCTTAAGTATAATCATTATTATTTAGTAAATGTTCAGTTAGTCTTTTAACTTCGTGCTGAGAAGTAAAACATTTACTAAGACATGAATAACATTGAAAAATATTAAATCAAGGTTGGTGTGAGCTCTAAACCCAAGCCCAGGACCAAAGAAGACACTTTTGAGCCAGAGGCTGGAAAATCCAGGAAGACTTAATGCTGAGAGTGTGGTTTTGAGTCCAGGGATTTTTGGAAGCTTTTTTTATTATAGGCCTGAGAGGCTGGTTCTAAATTGCTGGGTACGGGAGGCTTTACTGAGCCAGTTTAACAGGGCAGGTGGGCTTATGCAGGGGTTTCAGAGCTGAGGTTGTGAACACAAGTTTTGCTTCTAAGAAGACCCACAAAGATTCGAGTCTGGATTTAGGAATTCCGACTCATGGTAAAGTACTAGAGCAAAGGGAGTGGAGTAAGGGATGTATTTCCCTTTCTGCCAAAACACAGACCCGAAATACAGGCTGGCCACACTCAAAGAAGGGGCAGGTCTAAGGAACTGTTTCTCTGTGTGAGTCTTGACTTCATGAATCAAGAGGTCCTGGTTCACTGGCAGAATTAACACTGAAAGAAAGCCATTTGCTCAAGATTCTGTGCTGCAGAAAGGAGCTATCTCCTGAACCAGAGGATGGGGTAATGAGATACGACCTGGGGGAAAAGATGGCAAATAACCTATGCAGCTCATTTCAGGGGGATGGCTCTATTCATGCTGCAAGTTTCAGAGGAGAAATCATATTGCAGTACCCTGCGTCATCAAAGACCTTAGAATGAGGGCAAGACATGGAGTTGTGTGACAGAGGGACAAAGGAAAGACAGATGATCTTTTTGAGGTGTACAGGAATCGGTCCACAGAAGAGCATGCCAGCACCTTTCAGAGAGGAACGCAGTCCATCCAAAGGCTCTCCGGCCACAGGAGGCGAGGAGAACCTACTGTTGTCCTGACGAAATGAATCCTGGCCAGTGTCACCCCAGGAGGGGTACAGGAGACCTGAACAGTCCAGCTGCTGCTGTCTTCCCAGGTGCTAGGATGAAAATCTTGCTGATTCACAGGAGAATAAGTATTGTAAAAGATCGGACCAAAGAAGCTTTGTAAGAACAAGAAGTTCTTGGACAGGAAGCCAAGGGCTTGGAGAGTGCTGTGTCCTATCGCCTCTTCCTCCTGCCAGCCAGGATTTGGGAACAGAGAGGAAGATCTGGGAGGCAAAGAATTCTTTATGCAGATAGTGTTTTTGAGCCAGATTCATTGTCTGAGCCGTGCCTTAAGATAATTAAATGAGGGTTTCTTGGCTGGAGGTGGAACACACATAATGAGATCATTTGCTCAGAGGCTGGCAGACTGGGTCAGCAGAGATTTAAACTGAAGTAGGAGGGAGGAAAACTAGTTGATGAACTGGAAGGCTGATTGTTTCGGTGCACAGTAGAAAAGAAGATGAAAGAGAGAGTGAAGGCATAGAAGACAAAACTCAGGAAGAGGCCAGAAGCAGTGCTTGTCCTCTGTCCGCCTGAAGGCATCAGAACTAGGGGCTGGCCCTCACAGCTGGCGTGTAGCAGTGCAGGAACGCATTCTTCCATAAGAGGGGACCCTGAAAGACGGGGGATGTGTATGTGCAACAGCTGATGTGGCTAATGAACTGAGGGGAAAGGAGGACGGGGTTTTATTATGGGTGCAAACGTGGCAGGATGGAGAAATGAAAAATATCAGGAGCATTTATGAAGGCTCCGCTGTGCTGGATCATTAGCACTTTCTGTAAGTTAATATTCAGCCATCAGCAGTCTTAGCATCACTGCACATGAAAAGGGCAGAGATTCCGTGACTTGCTCAGAGCCCACACCTTAACGGATGACAGCCCGGGTCCACGTCTAACGTGGGTTCTCGTGTCACAGCAGCCGCCGACTGCCAAGCCTGGCCGTTGTGTTCGTGACAGCTAATGCTTCCCGGATGCTTGTTGCAGAACCGCACGAGATGTCTCCTGAGCACTCCGCTCGGCTCTGAAGTGCAGGTGGAGTCTTCACATACTTAGCTAACAGCAGAAGCAGCGAGGCTGTGAACCACGCAGTGAGGACGCTAGAAGGGAGGTGTCGGACTCAGGACCAGGAAGGGCCAGGTGGTACTGCCGGCCCTGTACCCTGTACCTCAGTGTGGTTGAATTGAGAGGGTTGTTTTAGAAAACAGGCTGCCACCACATGAGGAGTATTGACTCAGGGTCTCAAAAGTGCACTGCTAATCATGGAGTAGCAAGTGATCCTAGTGAGCTCACATGCAGAAGATCTGCTCCATCTCAGGAGGAGAGCAATCTGTTTATTGTCTGCTCTGATTTTCCAAGAACTTGGCGATGTTCATCAACAAGAGGCTGATTGAAAAGTCGGCGTCAGCATGTGGTCTCCACAAAGCCAGTTCTGCCTTAGGCTGCGCTGAGTACAGTGTCCAGCCTGAGCCACCGGGGTCAGAGTGGACATTCATTACTGTTCGTGCTGGGTGCATCACCCTCAGAGAAATCAGGTCATCCCTTGATGTTTGTTCTGCAAGTTTAGATTTTGACGAACCTGAACACAGACACTGGGTGTATCCTCCTGAAACACGAGAAGTTGGAAAACATGTGTTTCTGGATTTGTGTGCAGAAAATCACTCTGTCTATAAAAAAAACGCCTTTAATTGGTAAAAATGTGAGGTATTTTCTCAAGTGTGTGCTGCAGTTTGTGAGAGAATGTGAGTATAGAACACACTGAACTCAGGCGAGGCTCTGCGTCGCTTGTAGCGCAGTTTGTTGACACAGGTAATATAGTTTGCTTTGGAAATGGATATTTTAGGTAAGATTTTTTTTTTGCCTTCCAGTAATAAATACACAGATTTCCATCTTTTCTTTTCTTTATTTTGGTCCTGGGGGTCGAACTCAGCACCTTGTGCTTGCGAGGCAGGCGGCAGCACCACTGAGCTAAATCCCTGGCCCCTCCGTGTTTATTTTCATTGCTTTTCTCAATTTATATAAGGCCTTCAGTGTGCCAAAAGGGAGGTTTTTTTTCCAGAGCTTAGTACTTTTAATTTGTCCTAAAATCACTGAAGCAAAAATCATAAAGCACTGTGCTTTCCTTTACAACCCCCAACACACACACACTATTTGTAGGAAAAAAACGGTTTTGTACAGGGGATGAAACAATAGAGATTCACAACTTACAGATAACAGTGAGCTCTGTCACTCATCTCTAAAGAGCTTGTAAGACAGTGTTCTTTTCAAGGAGTCTGGCTCCCCGGGTTAGAAGCACCGAGGCAGAGTGAGAAAGAGGATGAGATGGTGAAGGAATTTGGAGCCACTCAGGAGGAGGTTGTCCCTGAGTGTGATTCTGGAGCAGCTCAGTGGGGACTGGAACGAGGCATGGGTGCCTGAATACACAAGGCTGACCACGCTGCTCGGCTCTGCTTCGGCTTCTGGAAGAGGACGAGGAGGTGGTTGCCTGTCCTGGAGCCCGTGTGGGAGTTGCTGGAGTTTGGGGTTCTCCAGGGCGCAGCAGGGTGGTGAGGGGAGTGTGGTGTGAGGGTGTTTTGCCCCTTGCGGCCTGTGCGTCTGCAGACTTCCTTTCCATGAGCGACAGTACTCGCCCCTTGTGCAGCACGTTGAATTTTGCAATAAACCATGTTAACTAGAAGATGGATATACTGTGCAGAAGACGCTGGCCCTGATCCGGGCCCCAGTGGCCAGTCATCAGTGTAGATCCTGGTGAGCGTGGTGAAGATACGGTTTGTTATTTCAGGAAGCCATGAAGCAGATAACCCAGCTCCTGCCGGAGGACCTCAGCAAGGAGCTCTATGACCTGTGGGAAGTAAGTACTCGTCTTCAGTGGCCGGGTTCTCGGGGCTCGTCCTGCAGTGGGGTAGACGGTCCCCTCCGCTGTCCCCCCATCCCGTCTCTCAGTCCCAGCTTTCTGGCGATGGGCTGGGTCCTGCCCCCAACGGTGCCCACTTCTGCTGCTACCCTGCCCAGGTGTACCATGATGCAGCCCCTAGCTTCCTGCTGCTTGGTCCACACAGCTGACCCATCTGTGGCCTTGGGGCAGTGCAGAGCCAGCTGGTACCATCCCTGCTTCCCAGTTCTGTGACCTCGGGTGCCCATCTGTGAGCCCCAGAACGGTCAGGGGTTGAGGAGGACAAGGCAAAGCCCATTGTGCTGGCGGCGCAAGCTGGGCTTGCGCAGGATTGGGCGGGAAGGAAAGGCCAGTGTGTGGGCAGCGCTGCTCCTGTGCTGCTTTTCTGTGGCCTCGTGTCATGTGGCCCACGCTGTGGTCACCCTGGGGTCACCATGGCCCCGCCCCCGGCGCCATGCTGCCTTGTGTCTCCCGCAGGTCCCTCCCCACTGGCTCAGGTCTCCCTGGGGATGGGAGGGAGCCCCTGAACAGCTCTCCCAGGAGGGCTGTGCTACGCAGCCTCGGGCCACGTGTGTCTACCGTCACTGTGGTTGGGCTCCAGCGGGGAAGAGGACGCCTCTGTGAGGCAGTGGAGAAACAGGAAGCCGTGTGATAGCTGTGTGCTGCCTGGCCCCGTGGGAGGTGGTCACGCTGTGCACTCCGGACTGTGGTGATCTCTAAAATAAGATGGCTCTGGGGTCCAGGATGAGAGACTGGGCCTCTTTAACAAGCATCTGCTGAGAGGTTATGAGAATCAAGTCTGGTAAGGTGTGCGTGGTGTCTGGCTTGGAGCCTCGCACGAGTGGGCCTGACTATCACCAGCCTAGTAGCAGTGTCTGTAAAATTATTTTTCTTAGCCATCAGCAGCTGGCTACAACTTGGGTCGCAGAACCTGCAGGTGTTAAAGTAGGAGCTTCTTAGTAGACGTGGTGACGGTTACTTAGAGAGGCTTTGGACTCAAATAAACAACACAGAGAATTACAGCACTCGATACCCCAGCAGAGGTAGCCGTTTGATTCTTGTACACAGCCCTCTCTCCTCTTTGTAGCCTTTGACGTGTTTTGGCTCAGAACTCATTATTCCAGTGTTTACCCCTCAGTCTCGTGATGTCCTTCCTGCATGCTGGAAACAGATCGCATTATAACTTGAGCAGTTCTGCAGAGACCCTGTTTCAGCTCACACTTAAGATATAGACAGATGTGAATTTCTAAACACGGTACAGGGCTCTGTAATAATTCGTATGCTTTATAATTCATATCCAGAGTTAGTATTTGGGCTTCAGTATGAGACTTTGAGATTCAAATGCTGTTATCCTTGTTTATTAGTTGTGTGGCCAGGGAAGGTTAATTTTTCAGTGTCTAAATTCGCCTGTAAAATGGAAAAAATAGTATTATGCAGCTGTGGAAATTAAAGTAATTGATCTATGGGGCACACAGTACATTCCATTTTTCTGTGTCTCTAGTCTGTCCTATTTTTCTGTTTCCAGCCCTTATGTCTTGATTTGGGTTTGAAAATGTGGTCATCCTGCCCATGGGATGTGGAATAAGCCAGCTCCTTAGAAATGCCAGTTGATTGGCTTTTGAAGTGCTGGTCACCACACTATTCACGGTGAAGTCTAGCTGCATGGAAAGTCACATCTATGAAAGCCTTGATTATCATTTGTCTTTTACTATAGACATGTGAAATCAAATTGCAGTAAACCAAGAGAGGTTTTCTTTTTTTCCCCTGAAAGTGTCACCTACATTTGAAGAAATACACTTTTGGACCTAACACATAAGGACAGCCACTACACGCACGCACGCTAAATGTCTAGCACATGTGACTGCCTTTGGAGTGTGTTTATTTTTAATTAGGAAATGGTATTTCAAGACCGTTGTATGAGCACTGAGGACTATATGGTTTCCCCATGTGTCGATACTATTTCCCATTTAAATTCAGCACTGTGGGTTTTACTTGCCCTCTTTCTATACTGTGTTGTGTACCCCATCCCAGGAATCCTGGGGGTGGACAGGACAGGCTGTGAGAGCTAGCCTGCCTCAGGATTCACATGTGTACCTTCTGTGAATAGTACCCCCCATCTTCCTCAGTTCTGATTACTGAAAACAAGGCGGCTCTCCCAGCTCCGTTTCTCTCCAGTTTTTGTAGTTTTCTGTGTCCACAATGTCAAAACATCCGGCTACTGCACGCTGCAACCTTTTAAGCCACAGACTTAGTTCTATAACGTGTTGAGGTCATCCACCCATCCTGGTGGCCACTTCTAAACAGTTCTTGTTGCCTGAGACCTGTTCACTAGTAGATTCTTTAGGGAGGGCTTGAGGAACAACATTCCCCCATTCCTGCAGTTGTTCATAGCTTTCCTCTGCTCTTTATAGTAGAGATTACTTTTCCTAGATATAAAGTCCTTGCTCCCAATTTCTATCCTTGGGTATCTTCAGTATGTTTTTCTCATTTTCTTCTGCTGTAAAGCAGTGATATCATCATCTCATTTTCCTTACATGCCAGGTGCAATTTTTACCTAAGTGCCCGAAGAATTATTTTTTCTTTTAAGTCTGGTAATTTTTATTGGATTGTATCTTTGTATATTCATTCAGGGCTAGTATCCTCAGGTTGGTTGGTTTGTTTTTAGCAGTACTAGGGATAATCTTTTCATTTTTTATCAAGCCAGGGTCTTACTGAGTACTCAGTTGCCCAGATTGGTTTGAGCCTGTGGTCCTCCTGCTTCAGCCTCTCAGACAGCTGGGACTACAGAGGGGCACTACCACTCTGCGCTTCCTTAGCTACTAGAGTGCTCTTTAAACACATACTTAGAAGTCTTTTTAAAAGTTTTTAGTTGCAAAAATGTTTTCTTGAAATGCAACTTTTCTTTTACTTTTGTTTTCTTTTCTCTGCAACTGCATTCTTTGCCAGTCTCCAATATTTGCCTGGCTTTCTAAAGTCCTTCATTTCTTATCCATTTATTTATTTATATATGTATGTGTGAATGTATTTTTACTTTTCAGTGTAGTCTCCTTTACAGTTTCTGTTAAAGGATCATTTATCCTATTTAATTACTCTTCGATTTCTTATTGCTTAGTTTTTTGGTTTGTTTGTTTTCTGGTTTGTTTTGCAGGAATTTTTTTTTTTTTTTTTTTTTTTTTTT